CATCAGTCTATTCACGAATTTGCAGTATATCTGGAATTTTAACAATTATTTATATTTTTCAATTGATATATCGCTTGTAATCGTTTGTATTGTAATTAGTATTTCGTATTATAAACACAATTACAATAAATTATTTATTTATTAAATGTTATAAAACTTGAATATAAATAAAATATAAAATTATTAATAATTCACATCTAATCTCCCGAACAATCCATGAATAAGTATTAATGGTTATTGACAATATCTTATTGTGATAGCTCTATCATTATAAGCCAAGTGTGGTGTAAATTACTGTTGGCCAAAAACTGAACGCGTTCAGTTTTTAGGGTGACCATTTTGAGGCCTACCGATCCTATAAACCTCATTATTCATAGCTGAATTGTTGTTAAAAATAGGGAAATTATGCATTATAATTATTATTGACAGTATAAGTGATTTGTATAAATCGATTCAAAAAATCAAATGTTTGTTCAAAATATTAATAAACAGTCAAAAACTCTAAAACACTTTTTGTTAATTTTAAAAGTATTTTCTCAAAATTTTACAATATTATTGCAATGCTAGACACCAAATATTCTATATATATATATATATATATGGATATAATATAAATATATAATATGTAAATGTAAAATAAAACATGCATTCTCAAAATATCCATTTATTGCAGGTTACAGCATAAGCTTATAATGTCATTTTTATAAGCTTGTTTTTGTCAAAAGTTTATTTATATTATAGATATACATAATTTAAACATATACAATCATGTTTGTAAGATTGTTTTCGTCAAAGGCTTATTGTATAATATCTATAATATACAATAAATTAGCAAACTATTCAAATATACAATGTTATTTTTATAAGCTTGTTTTCGTCAAAAATTTATAAAATAGGTAATATACAATAAATAAATAAACAAGTCAAACAAATAAACTAATTTTTATATACTTGTTTTCATCAAAAGTAATTGTGTAATAATATAAAATAAATGAGTAAACAATTCAAACATATAAAAGCATCAAGCGACTTATTAATAATTACTCACACCTGAAAATATCAATTGCGAATCCTGCTAAATACTACAATAAGTTAATTTTTAATTTCAATCTAACACCTATAAGATTGTTCTAATTCATTACTATGAAGCAAAACAATAAGACCACGATCATTATAGTAATGGTGATGTTAACGACCATGGTGGCCATATCATCTAGCTCATGTTGGGACGATTGGAGCCGCTGTACCGGATGGTCAAGTGCGGCAGGAGGTATACTATGGAAAAAGTGTAACGAGAGGTGTGTATGCATGAACTATAAGAGTGGTGTGTGCGTTGAGGTGAGCACCACATGTGCAGGTTTACCGTCCAGCACCATGGTCAGCCAGTGCCAGTGCAAAAACCAATTGGGCCCGCCACCAAGTTCTGGTTGCGGTTGGTAAATGTTTTTGCCACGTATGTTTTCATTTTAATAAAACTATGATGTTAAACATTTTATTATTCTGATAATTAACCAAGAATTTTTATTTTCAAAACTGTATGTTTTTGTAGTTGTATTTTATAACTTTTAACCAAGCAAATAATTATTGCAATGTTATGTTAATCATATTTTAATAATTATTAAAGTAATGTATTAAAGTTACAATAAAACACTATTTTATAAACAATATATAAATTGTGCTGACTTATGGACTTATTCAGAAATATCAATTTAGTTTAAACACTAATCATTTTAATAATGTTAAGTGTCGTAAAGCGCTCCATGTTTTATGATAATTAAATCTATTATTTTTCACAATATATTGTATAAACATCTGAATAAATAATTCATTTTTTGCATTTTTGCTACCAATATATATCATAATAGTATTTTTGAATTAATTTATATATTTATATTTTATAATCCATAACATATAAAAGTTTTTAATTATTAATTTAAAATAATGAAAGTGATAAATCTACTTCTAAATGTAGTCGCTATCCTATTATTAATGGTGGTATTTTTAAAAACTTTATACTTGCTAATCTCAGACCTAAATGACATTGAGAATTATGCCGTGTATATCAGTGATAACAATTGGTTCACAAAAATGAGCCAGGTCACAATCTGTGCCCAACATATGCTACGTATACCTATACAAATGATGGCAACATTTGCTATCTATACCGACAACAGTCTACTTGTGGTATTATTTACATTCATCAGTCTATTCACGAATTTGGAGTATATCTGGAATTTTAATAATTATTTATATTTTTCAATTGATATATCGCTTGTAATCGTTTGTATTATAATTAGTATTTTGTATTATAAACACAATTATAATAAATTATTTATTTATTAAATGTTATAAAACTTTAAAAAAAATAAAATGAAATATAAAATTATTAACTATTCATATCTAAACTCCCGGACAATCCCTGTATATGAGTATAAATGTTTATTGTGATAGCTCTATCATTATTAGCCAAGTGTAATGTAAATAAATTAAAAATAAATAAGTGTCAAGGTACAATAATGTGTGCTCAATGGGACAAATCCTTGAGACAATCCATATATTTGTATGTTTTTTCTTCGGTTTCTTTCAATTTATTGGGATTTGCGTTGAATTTTGCTTCAGATTTTCTCTCCAAACACTGCCATAACTATTTAACCATAGGATTAACATTAAAAAATATTAAACTAACCACGTTATCACAAATAACTAACCTCGCTAAAATGCTCAAACGACCTACAGGCCAGGGGTCGGCCATCATGTTTAGCGCCAAACACCTGACTATGACACTGGGCTATTGGGTCGGTTATCTAATAAGCATAGTTAATAAACTTGCATGATTAATTACGTTGAATCACAATTAAATAAGTTACTATGATTAATTAATTAAGTTAACTAACTTCCCTGAAGTGGTCGTCGCAACGGCGGACGGCTGACCGGCGTTGGGGTGAAAGGCCGGGCGAGCACAAGTGCTCCCAGCCCAGGGGTCGGGCCACTTTCATCACACACCACTATGTAAATGTAATTACACCAATTAATTACACCTTGTGAGATTGCAAATGACCATCACTTTCTCTCACCATGTGTTTGTGCTCTTTGGCCACGATCTCCCGGATGGTGTAGCGCCTGTCCCGGTAGGCAACGCTCTTACAGTTGTCCAACTGTTGACCCTTTTTGGTGGTGTGATAGTTGCATACACGGGGCTGAGCTTTGTTCACTGGCCGACCGGTTAGATCTTTCACACACTTATCAAATATTTGTTTCACCTACCCGTAGAGAGAGAAAGAGAAAGAGAGAGAGAAAGAGAGAGAAAGAGAGAGAGAGAGAGAGAGAGAGAGAGAATACTTTAGATCTAGCAATTACATGTTTAGTTATTTAATTTAATTAATTAATTAGTTAAGTAAACTAATTTGCAAGTATTTTGTATTTACAATAATTCATTAAGATTATCATTATTATTGATAACATGTAACATTTACATAACAAGATATAAGGGTTAGGGCCGTAGCGTTTACCTCCCGGTCCATTATTTGGTCGCAATCCATGAGCGCGTTATACACGGCATTGGGTGCCGATGGAGAGCACAAGTCCGGCAATACTCGCGACCAATGGCTGGAATAAGTGTGGATTTTGGCCACGAGTGCCGTTAATACTAAACACGTTGTAATATAAGCCATGCCTACCGGTGCTGATAATGCATGTGTCTGTTAGTGTGCATGTAGGTTATATATTTAAATATGTGTTGAAAACATATTTAGGTAATTCACAACAATGTAAATATTTACCATTTTTATTATTATAAATATTATTGATCATAATAGATTATTAAATTAATGGTTTGTGCATTTTATTAGCATGTATTTCCCTAAAAGTATTACTTCTGGGTTGCTTTATGCTGTAAATTATTTGTTTAAATAAAAATGAAATAGATTGACACTGTTTAAACATTGAAAATGCACCTACAGAACATCAACAGTACATTTACACACATTTATATTGTAGATTAAATTATGTGTTAATAAAAAGTAGTAACGGATATAAAAAATAAAACATTGTCATAAAAATAAATGATTAAAATGCTTGTTATATTGATAGCTAATATATTTAGGTCACAATGTTGAACACAATAAGTGGCATAATAGTAATTAATTATGAACGAGTTAAATGTGCTTTAATTTTATTTGCAAAATGAATTTTATTTTATTAAATTAAATTAGTAAATCACCTTTGTTATAATAAAGTGTAATCGCTTGTTTTATAATTTTATTGCCATCATAATAATTCGCATGTAAATTCACTTTGAAATAGTGGATGTTTTATTAAAATTTTAATTACAAAAGAATTATAAATAATAATTATCAAGGGCAAAAGAAAATAATGTAAAATACATGTATACTTAATGTGTAATCCTGTTAAAAAATAATTAAAATTCATAGCATTATAACATTTAAAATATAAATTAAATTACAAGCATATAATATATTTGTGTACAAAATCTATGAATGCTTAATAAATAAATTTAGTAATTATTTATATACTTATATAAAGTGCAAATCATTATCTAATCATTAACTTACACGGTTTTGATACCTATTGTTAGACAAAGGTTATTAACTATATAATTTATTGGATTATTTTATTATTATCATTTCTGATAAGTTATCACATTATTTATTAAATTACATTATTTAATTTACAAAGCGCATTTAGTTCATTGTCACATATTGTTTATAGTCGCTATGTTTTAAGTACATTAAATAATATTTTTAATTAAATATAACCATTTTTAATTATTTTTAAAGTAAAATAATATGATTATATTTACAGTAAATTAATAAACAAGTTAATATAAATAATTAACCTAAATTGTGATAACTTAATTTAATAATTATTATCCTATTGCAATTTAATTAATTAACTCATATTGTTCAAATGGCAATAAAAATATCAAAACCACTTGGCATTAAACTGAGCTTGGACTTTATTGCGCTACTGGTCATGGGCATATTATTATTGTGCTTGTACTTAGCCGTCAAACCATTTGAACGTGGTTTCTTTTGCGATGATCTGTCCATTAGATACCCTTATAAGGAAAATACAATAACTGAGTATATGTTGGCTATACTAGTGTTGGTGCCTATTATAGCGACGATCGGCTGTATCGAGACTTATAGATATAAACAGGTATTTGATTATAAATATACAGTTATTATTTACAATAATTTAATACTAAAACACAAATAGTATTTAATTATTTAAATATATAAATTAATATTTATATATAAATAATTTCTGGATAGTCCTAATCTAGATTATTTACAAATAATATTTAAACAATTATTTTATTATACAATATTTGTAAATCAAATAAAATATTGTTATTTTAGTTATAAAAATAAAGTTTTTACAAATACTTTTATATTAATTAATCTTTATAAATCATTTTATTTTAAAATCTTTAAACTGCAACACTATATAAACATTAATTAACAACATAATCTACCAATCTTATTTAGAAACAATACACAACCCGATTAATTAAGTCACTCACACGGGAACTGTATGACAAGTATATGCCCTGTCTATTCGGTTTGCTATCGTCCACGTTATGTACACTCGTGTCCAAAGTAGCCGTCGGCCGATTGCGGCCATACTTTCACAGCGTGTGCCGTCCGAACGTTGTCTGCGATCAAATGGTCAATCTATATAAATACCACGATGACTTTACCTGTACTGATACTGTTAACTCGCCTCCCGGTGCCATAGATGAGATGCGAATGAGCTTTATGTCCGGTTAGTGAACATGTATAACGTAACTTATAAAACATATTGCAGCAAAACTGCATATGTAACTATAGATAGCCTTAACTGTAGTAAACTTTGCATAACTCTCCAGTGGTTGGTCAGCCCAGTGGTGGACCAGAGCCTCAGGAATGTTATACTACACCCACTGCTCATTAGGTAATAAAAAGGCAATGTTTCCCAACTCTCGGGGCTTTTTAGATCTTAACACTCTTACAGTACGTAAGGGTGTACTCAAAACCTTCTCTAAAGCTTATGAAACCCCTATTATGTATTAACTATTGTCATTGAGTACTCAATAAACACTTTTATATTATATTTGTGTGTATTAATGCCAACGAAAGTGTAATAACTAATTGTTAAGCAACCTGTGGTCGTCTACCGGACACAGCGGTCATCGGAACGGGCGATCGGTCTAACGTTACGTTATGTCGGTTTGCGTACCGACCAACGGTTAAAGTAAGTCATAAGTATCGCCCGCTCCACAGCACTCGACTGACGCCGCGCGCGGACAGCCACAGACGACTGCACATCGGGTGCATTCATGTTGCAATATTATTAAAATATTATCATGTTAATAATAGGCTATTTTTATTTTGTAATTATTATGACAATATGTTTGCAATTATTTTATTATTTATTAAAAACTTATATAAATAATTGATATAAATGTGTGACGACACAATGTACTGTAAATGCTATTTATCACATGGTTTTAATTAGTTAGCATTTTATATATTAGGCATTTTTTTGAGTAAACATATTAATTTAGGTAATAAGCAACTTTTAAATAATCAATAATTTATCAATCTAGGTCACTCGTCGCTGATGGCATTTACCATGGTCTATCTATCGATATATCTCCAGAAACGTGTGCCAATCACCCAAACGAGAGACTCGTTGCTACGGGCGCTCATACAGGCGCTGGCCATAAACCTGGCCTTTTATGTGGGCTATACTCGTATATCGGACTATTGGCACCACTGGAGCGATGTTATGATAGGCCTAATACAGGGCACTATATCGGCCATATTGACCGCCTTGTATTTGAGTGACCTGTGTCAAACTGATGGTAATTGTAATCATCATGGGTTTAATGATGCTAAACGCGATAGCAATGTTGTTAATATTGATAGTAATAGTAACGGTAATAATCAGAGTAATAATAGTACTGCGAATGATTTTAATATAAGACTATACCAATCAAGTATTTAATTTATGCTAAAATATTATCCTGGATGTTTTATTTATAAGTTGCTGCATATTTATCTTATACATGTATGTATGTTTATTACCTAATACAGCATTATTTAATTTTTTATTTTTTCGGTTATTTTATTTTTATTTATTTTACCATCAATTTTATTTTTTATGTAAATACTTACAAAATACCAAATATAAAAAATATAAATTAAATGTTTATATTATTAATAATATTTCACAACTAATAAAAATGCTAGAGCCTATGCAAACCATCATGGTGTATTTAATTATATAAAATAAACATTATATAAATCAAATAAATATATTCTTAAATAATATAAACTGTACATATTTTCTAAGATATTGTTATTATTATCAAACTTTAACATTTTAAAACACTGATACAATATACAATTTTATTATTTTTATGTATTATGATTTAAACTTCTTACTTTGTATTTGGTGTCAATAAATTTCTTATAAAGTGTGTAAATAATATTTTTTATAAAAAAATAAACCACCTTAATTAATTTTGGAACAAAACACTATATATTTCAAAAAAATATTGCATCGAGTTGCTAAAAATATATTTTATGCATAATTGCAGTGTATATTTATAGCTAAATAACTTAATAAACATGCTATAATTAATAACAATAAACTTTACATTGCATGTTTCATAAATATAATAAAATTATCACGTTTTTATAATGACATTTAAATAAAGGAAATAGTAATTAATTTTTAAAACTAAAGACATTATTACTTGCATCATATACATTTTTATTGTTTTAAGTGTGTTTTAATTCATTTATGTCCTTTTACCACGTATGGTTAGTACAGGATATTCCCACCACCATAATCAATTAATGTTTGGGCTTTTCTCAATGACGTATTAACTATTTTAACGGTAAAATAAATTAAAATATACCATATGAAAGAAAACAATAAAACTCATTTTAGTTACTTCTTACACCAGACCCTAAAATATGTTTTAAAATCACATTTATTTTCCTTGTATAAAAATATTTAATTATTTTACTTGTTGTGACTCAAACACACTTATTTCGACAAACTTCAATTTTATTCAGCACGTTTATATCATTTGATATCTCAACCTAGCTCTACCGGGGTATATATTTGTGTGTTTGGAAAATTATCCCAGCTAATACAGATGCATATAATTATAGTGTAATTTTTTGTGAAAGTAACTAGTTATCTACTATCTAGATAATTACATAAAAAATTTCCACTCTAATTTTGTTTTATTGTTTACCTCGATATTTATATAAAAGGGCTTAATTGTTAATTTGCTCTGCATTTGACATTAATACAAAATATCTAACATAAACAATGACCAGCGGTTCGGTGAAAGTAGATGGTAACGATGTATGGTATGAGCGATTTGGGTCCGGCCCTCACGCCATACTAGTATTCCCCGGTGCCATAGGTATGTCAAAATTGAAACTAGCCTAGTTTATCTATTGCTACAAAAGTGTAACTATGGTAAATTCTAGGCACCGGGCGGTCAGACTTTGGGCCCCAAATCAAAGGCGAGTTTGCCTTAAATCTCAAGAAATACACTTTAGTGACGGTCGAGCCGTTGGGTTGGGGCCGCTCTCGACCGCCGCTCCGAATATACGATTCCCAGACCTATAACAAAGACGCTCTGTCCGGAAAAATTATCATGGAGGTTTGTTTTTACTTAATACTCAAATAATGTTTATTAATAATAAATTAGTACTGCATTTTGCTATAAGATAGTATAGAATTTATATACAATTTAATATAATTTTATATTTTTTATTTTGTATGATTATTAAATCTCATTAATTAACAATAGAATTATTTTATTTAATTAATTAATTATTAGATATAATATGTGTAATTGGAAAGTGAAAGATGATAAGTATACCAAGTATACCAATGTAATCAATGTTATTATAATGATTAATGCTCATTCAATGACCAATACTTATCACCTTTCACTTTCTAAATAAACATATTATTGGATTGTTATATATAATTTTATTTTATTTTTATAATGTATTACAACATTGCATTTATACAATATCATTTGCGTTAAACAGTCACTAGGCTACCAAACATACTCGACCATGGGCTGGTCGGACGGTGCCAAAACGGCATTATTGGTGGCGGCCCAGTATCCATCTAGGGTGACCAGTTGCGTGGTGTGGGGAGTGGTAACGTACGCCACTAAACGTGATATCGACGCACTGGTAATGACCAAGAACATCAAGTACTGGGGCGCGGATCTCATCAAAAACTACGAGACCGTCTACGGGGACGACTGGGCCGGACTCTGGACGCGACACATCGAGTTTCTCGAGAAGATACGGGAGATATTTCCCGACGGGTTTGTCAAGAATGACCTGCAGAAAATACGGTGCCCACTGTTTGTGCTTCACGGCGATCAGGTAACATAATATAATTGTAGATTAAATGTATTATACAATACTAACCAAAGAGAGAGAATTAAAAGCATGCAATATTTCCCAAAGTTATTAATAGATTAATAACTATAAAAATTAATTCCTCTACCATGATGTATTAAAAAAAATTAGGACCCCATGGTAAACCTGGAACATCCGGAGCACGTGATCAAAAACATATCCGACTCCCGATTGCATCGTTTCCCCAAAGGCTCCCATAATTTACATTTGGTTTTTGCCAAAGAATTCAAACAATTGGTCGAAGACTTTCTCTCGGATACTGAAGATATGGGATATTAATATAACCATGATAAAATTAATTTTCAATTGTAATCACCCTGTACCATAAATATCCGGGGGTACCCTTATCAAAATTCTATAATACCGTGTATTGTTTTAAACTATGAATGAACTAAATGAATAAATATACTTCTAAATGTATCAGTACTGTTAGAAAATATTATGTACTTGATGTTTTAGAAAATTATTTTGACTGTGTGAATTTATTTTAAATTTTATTACATTTATTTAACAAACATTTAAGAGATTTCCATAAGAAAATTTTTAAAATATAACATCTACAAATAATTATACAACAATACTTTTATTTAACAAAAATACAGTAAAACTTTACTGATTACAAATATAACAATTAAATGTAGGTAATTATACATATTTGCAATATATAATGTAATATAATCACCTCTATTAAATAAAGCATTTTATTTAGCAAATTATAATTAATGATTTCAATTGCATTGCTGATAATTGTGAGCACAAATTTCTTTGTTCAGATTAGATTATTTATTTAAAATTATTAAAATGAATGCTAAATATAATTTGCTAAAATTATATTCATATTTAGCATTGTCATAAACTATACACAATTATAGTGGTAATTCCACGGGAAATATATTATAGTGTAAAAATTACATAATAATTTTAACCACACTTAGTGAAAAATAAAAATAAAATTTATTTAGTTAAAGTTTACTTTATTTAATAGCATATTCAATTCATTACATTGTTAGATTTAAATAAATATTAATTAATTATATAACATATAATTTTTTAAAACTAATGCTGTAACTTAAAATTGAATTAAATTTTAGTAAAAATTGCTAATCATACTTAATAAGCCAATTATTGATAATGATAAAATTACTAACTAATACAAACTAACTAGGGTCTTTTATATAGGACCCGATGATTGATGTGGCTCAGGCCAAATACGTGGCCGAAGTGGTGTCGGACACCCGTTTGCATCGGTTCCCCAACGCCTCCCATAACCTACACATGACTTTAGCCAAAGAATTCAAACAATTGATCGAAGATTTTGTCGATGAAATGGATGCAGGCTTTTAAATAATGTATTTTTACAAAAATGAGCTTATTAGATTCTTATGAGCACAATATGCACGAGTTTTAATATGTATTTTATTGTATTTGTGTGTTGTTTTAAGTTATGGTAAATAATGGTTTTAATTTGGCTATTTTATAAATGAGTTTTATAAATAAAATGTGTTTGTTTTGTGATAATAAGACTGTGGCCAACTATTAACGCATGTAATAATTTTTGTTTGTTTTATTTTAATTAAAATATTTTGTTCTTTTATAAATTGTTGTTTTGGAGTTTTATTTTA